AATAAGGTCTTCTTTTAGCATTGTTCTTTGTTGTGTTGTTGTAAGTAAATACAAAGCTTAATCGCGAGTGCTTTCTGTTTAGAAATATGTTTCAAATTCCAATATGATGTATTTTCAAATTACAATATCCAAAATAAACAAAGCTGTAGGACTGGTACCTATATTTAAAGATTTTATACACCATTTTATTTATACAGAATGTTAGCCCACACTAGGATTTTCTTCAGTATAATGCAAGCATTTTAAATACATAAAATTGCATATATACGCAAACATCCTGATATCTAGACAATTATTTGTAGTCCATTTGTTACATGCAGGATTCGACCCCCGCGCATCTCAACCCAAAGCGTTGCGTAGTCAATTTTATCCTTTAACCGGGCTGTCGTTAATTGCCATTCTATATTGAGTTTTTTGTTTATTATGACTTTGACAATTCACTTTCAATTACAGCTTATAAAAGTTCACTGCTGAACATTGGCCTCCTCCATAGATTACCTCATAGGGGGGATTTTACCATAGTTGACGAGCAGGCGAGCGGGTCGTCAACCGCACTTTTTTATTGCCTGCTTTAATTTCGCTCTGTCGCTTCTAACGACACCCACGGGATGCTATGGGTTAGTGGATATTCTTAACCGCCACTACACGGCTTTGCGAATTTTGTTTGCGAATTCACTTTACTAAAACTAAACTCAAACAGATAGTTGCCTGATAGATATAACATAATATCTTCTTCTTCTTCTGTTAAGAGTCCACTGTTGGACTGGTCTCTCCCGTTGTGGAAAGGACTTGCTTAATCGTTATGTTTGATGGGCGCATTTTTGATAGCAGTACCTTCGACGCTGCTGTCCGTCACCAGTCCGGGTATTTTACGTTCAGCCTAAATGAGATGGGTATATACCGCCATCTATTGGAACCCATTAAATTTTTCTAGGATTTCCCTTAGCCACTCCCCTTTTTACGACACCCAAGGGATGAAATGGGGTGATGGATCATATTACATTGTCACTATACGTCAAACCCCGCCACCACGTAGTTTAGTATAACTAAGTCAGTTCCCTTTATTATTTTCGTCTGCATCACAACTTACTAACTGTACTAAAGCACTGGCTTAGAAAGACTAAAAAATTCACGCCCATTTTAGTATGTTAGTTTTAACAACATACACGTTCGAGAGAAAACTGCATGCGAAAGAATATGCTAAAAAAATTAAGAAAAACAAATGAGCGAAAGGCGCTATCGATCTAATATAGGCGAAATATGCAAATACTTTAACTTTCTTACAGTCAGTTGCGGGGAAAAACATGAATTTGATGTCGGTAAGATAAATATTGCAAGACCCTCCAATCAAAAACGTTTAAAAATTATGGGAACAGAAAGTCTGAGTCTGTTGACTTGGAAGTAATTAAAATGAGGCGACGCCTACTGCCTCTACAAATGTGGATGTACACATTTTTACACATGTGAGTAACCGTCATGAAGATAAGCTTTCTCGCTTTAAATTTCAGCTGTCAGCACCAACATATTTAATTATATTGGTTAGCGATGAAGTAAAAATACTAAGAAAATCTGCGTGTTTAAGAAATGAAACATAGCTAAAAATAACTCATGTTTTCTCATTACCTTAATGATAATCCTATAATTTTTAAACTGTTTTGTAATATCACTAATAACCAATGTGCCTAGTGAATTTAAAATATTAATAGATATTAAAAAATGTAGACGGTTGATATAATAATTCTTGCAATTTGAATATCCCTGGTGAGATTATAATACGACTATCATGGCTTTGACAATATGATTGCGACATACAGTTGAGTATTTTTATAAATTATTATTTTGGGAAGTGGCTGATAGATTAAGACACTGAAAATTTAAAAGGATTTCATGAATTACCACTTGAATTAACAAATGAAGTGATAATTCTTCATTCGAACAACTGGAAAATTACTAGTAAAACTTTTTTCCGAACGAGAGGGATGTTACACGTGACGGATGGTAAGAACTTCTTCGACGGCTCTTCTTACAGAAGCATCGTAGAAAAAAAATTGAAGGTAGCTTTCGTTAACCATGACATAAGGACGTAAAACACCTCAGTCTTTTCCAATGCCTCGGGAGTTAAAAAAGTTAAAATTAAACGTGAAGAAATCCGTAAAAATAGTGTAATTCAAAGTGTTGTAATACCGTAAAAAATAGGTCCTTACTCGTACATATGAAATTGGCGTTTTGCACGGGAGGAATATAAAGTCAATTTTTTTATAAAATATATTTAATTAATCAAAATATGCACCGTTGTTATCTATGCACTTTTGCCGTCTCATAGGTAGTTCATTGATCCCTTTACTAAAAAACCATGGGGGCGAGAATCAATAAACTCTTTGAAGGCGCTTTGGACTGCCGCATCGGAGTTGAATTTTTTTCCTTATAAGAATTGTCCCAATTCCGGAAAAAATGCTAGTCTGTTGGAGCAAGGGCCAAGGTCAAGGGAGTACGGCGGATGTCGCAGACATTCCAATTGTAGCTTAACTAACGTAGTGGTTGTTTGTTTTACAGTGTGTGGTCTTGCGTTGTCGTGAAGCAGCAGTGACCTAGAGCGATTGACCAATCTCGGTTGTTTAGCAGCTAGTTCTCCCTTCATGGTTTGCAGTTGCTGACAATAGGTATCTGCCGTAATCGTTTGGCCAGATTTTAGAAAGCTGTAGTGAACGACACCGGCGCTAGTCCACCAAACACTCACAAGTAAATTTTTCTGAGTCAATTTTCGTTAAGGGCAGGATATGACTGTGTCTCCAGGGTTCAGCCATTGCGACGAGCACTTCCGATTATCTTAAAGTATCCACTTTTCATAACAAGTAATGATTCGATTTAAAATCCCTTAAAGTAACACAGCAGTCGACACGTGTTTGCAAGTTCGATTCACTCAATTCATGAGGTATCCATCGTTCAAGTTTTTTTTACTTTCCCAATTTGTTTCAATTGGATTAATACAGTTTTATCACTTACCCCGAAGCCTGCAGCTATCTCTGAAGTGCTTTTTGATGGATCCGCTTCCACAATAGCCTTTAATTCTTCATTTTCCACTTTGGTCTCCGGCCGTCCATGGGGTAGGTTCTGAAGGTCGAAATTTCCAGAACGATAACGTTAAAACCAAAAGCGTACCGTGCTTTCTTTTGCGACACCGAGCTCACCGACATTCGAGCTGTTTCTGCAGCACTGGTGCCACGGTAGAACTCGCACTCGTAAATATACCGATATTTCATGGTTTCCATTGTGCGCTAATAAGCGACGCCAAAGAAAAAAATAGTGAGGAAAAAAAATGACTGTTTTCTAAACTCAAATGTACCAGCTAAATGAATTTATAAATTTGAATTTGAAATTATTAACCAAAGAGGAGATATTTCAGAATCAAAATGGTCAGTACGACAAAACGCTAATTTCATATGTAAGGACCCAATATAAGAAATCATTGCGGAAAATTGTAATTAAGCTAACACAAAATAAAACGATCTAATTTCAAGTATGTAAATATTTATTATATATTTATTATGGACTATGTACTTGAAAAATGTTTATGTAGATAAATTAAATATACAAAAAGCCACAGAAAATGTACATATAGCCACATATAACTAAATAAATAAAATAAACTAAATATGGCTAGTACAGAGAACATTAAAATTATAGATATGTTCTTATTAGAAAATTTACTTCATTGTACTATACAAAATTTAGTAGACGTTACTTTGATAATACAAAATTTAGAAATCGATTTTGTGCTGTAGATTATTTGCATATTATTAACAAAACATTACATTGCGGGTTATTATGAAACACCAACTCATGATTTGGTGATAAAATTTTTGATTTTGTATTCTACAATGTTAACATATTATAAACTACAAATGGGCTTACTGAATCTTAGTGATCTTAACGTGTTACATTATTTATTGATTTGATAACTGTTAGTTAAGTTTTGTACATAAAGTACCTGTCAGTTTATTGGTTAAGCACCAATATTTTTTTATGTTTGGTAAGTAAAACAATTACTCTACTTTTGATTTGTTGTTTGTTATTAAATGTTTTATTAAAGAAAATTGTACAAAAGGGTTATTATAATTTCAAAGAATACATAAATGAAAATAAATTTGATCGCCACCATGCTGGTTCTATAAAAATTATTTTAAGAATTGTATAAGCAAAATATTGTAAAGTGAAATATGTTTAAAAGAAAAGTCCCGTTGGGTTTCTTGCTGGCTCTTCCCAAGACAGAGGATTTTTCCGAACCAGTGGTAAATAAAAAATTACTTTCAATAAGTATTATGATTATAATTTATATCGATTAAAAATCATTCATTTCATTTCAAAGAATATTAAATTTCAATTTAAAAGGAAATTTATCGATTAAACCATGTATTAGTATCAAATCAATTGTGTTTTTTTTAATCGCATGTTGACACAAATAAAAAAAAATGTACGCGGCATAATGCTTAGTAACGAAAAAAAATTTTCTATTATCAACTAGAAAAATAAGGAATATTTAAAATTGCTATTGTAAATAATATACATTTTTATAATAGTCCTGGATACAGGTCTACTTTCATTTTTGAGAGGGTTTGTACGGCAACCAGACGGTCGCACTGCTCAAGTAGCCGTTCAATTGGCAGATATCTCAGAACCTCGAAATATTTTACAGCGAAATGTATTTCTGACATACGACTCACCTCCTATATAATAATTAAATTAGGGACAACGTTGACATAAATAAAATCTTAAAACCAATCGCCTACTGAATGTAATACCACGTTATAAATCCTTAAATTACTAATTTCTACACATCTAACATATAATATTGTTATATATAATAAGTATTGATTTACAAGAACTTATATTAAGAGGTTTTTATTGTTTAAAAGTTTTTGCACTGCCAGTCATTACCACAACACTATCACTATTTTTTTTTATTGAGAATTTCCTAGAAAGTCATCGTCACTTGAAAGTCATTAGGCGACTTCCACCTCCGAATCAGAGTCGTCAGAGTATTGTCTGTTGGGCTGTGATTGAGACACATGCGTCGTGTGCGGAGAATGCGGACAGTGATCAGGCTGTGGTCGCGGGAGTAGGGGTGTGCGACCACAAGTCCTTTCCTCTTGCAGTTTCCGCAATCTCTCCTGTTCTTCTCGCTTTTGTTTGCGCCATTTCGCTCGTCGGTTTTTGAACCATACCTGGAACAGATCATACGTTATTGTTATTAAATTAATTAACTAGTCAGTCTTAAAAATAGGGATGGGCCGAATATGAATTTCACCGAATACGAATATTCGGCCGAACGTTCGGTAAAATTTTTACCGAACCGAATATTCGGCCGTAGATTGTTCGGCAGGATTACCTCGGTATTCCTAACCAATTTATGTTGAAACTTGTTACCGTGAAGCACGCAGGATTAGCGTCAGAGCCTTCCCCTTGCTCCCCCGCCACACCTGACATGTTATTGCATCATCCAGTACTGAGCAAATTGCCGGCACATACTTATGTTTTGACTATTTTTGTGAGAAAAAAAGTATTCTTAATGAAAATTGATAAGTATGTGATGAAAATAAGTGGCAGGAGCAGGAGATCTACTATTTGAACCAATTTTAGAGAAACTGACGACTGTAATGTAATTTGATTCCAAACAAAACTTTATCAAGCCCTCTATTTGCTATAATTAGAAATAAATCTACAGTGCTTCAAAAAGATAACGCTATACAAGTAGATTTAACCCTTAAATAAATATACTTTCAAGCTTTCAACAGTAAAATTATGAAAGACATGGCATTACTTAATTCGTACATTTTCATACAGTGGATACTTTGAGTACCACTTTAACGAATATTCGGTAAACTTGCCGAATAGCCGAATACGAAATAAGAAATCGGCCCACCTTAAATATTAAAAATTTTACCTAATTTTAAAGTTCTTTTTTATGTTAAATACATAAGGCCTATCATAAAGTTTGCATTAATAATTTTTATTTTTAGCCGACTTCAAAAAAGGAGGAGGTTCTCAATTCGAATATATGTTATTTTCGCACGATACGCGATATTTCTGTATGTAAACGATTTGATGATGTTCCTTTTTTTATATTTTGAGGCTGATTCAATATAAATTTTAAAAAAGTTCTAGCCCTAAGGATAGAAAAATGCGGATGTAGTTTTTAATGTTAGATAGTATTTTCGCACGACAGCTACGCAAGTCGAAGCTTTTAATACTTCTATAAACTATCTCGCAGCGGCGACTTTAAAAAAAAATTGTGAAAGTTATTTCACTCACCATCTTGAAATAGAACTTAGATATAATCAAAAATAGCACCATATCCATACTGTTTCATATGGTGAGTAGGTACCTACATGTCCTGTACTCGTGAGGAGTCACATTTTACTAGTAACAATGCATTTCCTCTTAGTTCACAGAAACTCATCTATGAGCATTTTGCTTATTAATTGAGGGTAGATGTATGATATAGACAGTGTGCTCGCTTGCCAACCTTATTTCTCGGATTATGCTTCGACAATAATAGGTATGTTCTATCTGTAGAGTTCAATAGTTCAGTAAAGTATAGTGGTACGGGCTCGTGCTTTCTACTAGAACTATGTATTCTGTTCTTATAGTATTATTGCTCGCATTGTTCGCTTACTACAATTTCTTGAAGCTTATGGAATTTATGTGTTTGTTAATCTTCCTTAAATTTAAATTTGAATATAAATATTGTTTATATTTTTATATAATAAATAGTTTAATTACATAACATTAATATATATAATATTTAGTATCATATTTAAAAAAAAAAACTAAAACTAAACATGCATTCTACATTTAAACTAAAAACGATCGATATTCTCTCAACTGTGAAATTGAATGTAAGTTACTAGATTAAAAATGTTGTCGTATATTTCAAAAGAGTTTTTAATATCGAAAATCCGACGTATGTAATTCCAATACACCATTCAACTCAATCGATATTTTCATAAAAGAATTACACAGCTTGTTATCTATGTACAATTGAGCGGCCTCGTTCCATAGGCGATGACCGCTACTGGCAACGAAAAAAACATGTTAGTAACATTTGTTGTGTATCATACGTATGATTGCTATGGCTTTCGTCTTCCATTACAAGGGAGATAGAAAAAAAGTATCAATGGTACTTCTGGGTATGTGTGTCTCCAGTTGAAGGTTTCCACTCGACTGGGTGTACACAAGTGTCGACTGGGATCTTCCCAAGCTGCGGGTGGTCGCCATTGTGCGTAGTATGGTCACAACACCGGCGGCGGCAGCCTTTCCTACTCGTACAAAACGGCCCATTCATAAAGTTTTTCGTTACTTATAAGTATGAACGTACATAAATAACTGATAGTTATTTGTTTTAAAATATTTTTCCATAATAAGTTAAGACAATCACAATAAATGCTCCATACAAAAATTATTGCTTATTTGTTCGTATTTTATGCGCTGCCATCATGCATTATACATTTATTAAAACTGAGTGATATACCTATAACTTTCAAATGGATTTGTCTGTTAGGTTTTCTGTCTACGATTTGTCTGTACCACACGCGCCATCTACTGTAAGTTAAATGTACTATGCCTATAACCTTCACGCAAACAATAAGTTGACAAAGTTTTATCGCAATCTGATAATACGGTATGGCAGCCATCATAGTGAGCCATCGATCACTATTTCTAGTGATCGATGGCTGCCATACCGTATTATAGATTGCGATAAAACTTTGTCAACTTATTGTTTGCGTGAAGGTTATAGGCATAGTACATTTAACTTACAGTAGATGGCGCGTGTTGTACAGACAAATCCATTTGAAAGTTATAGGTATATCACTCAGTTTTAATAAATGTATAATCATTTCCATTTAAATAATAATATAACCTCTTGCAAATTACAAAATGCGCAGGGTGCCAGCTAGTTACCTATACAATGAGATGTAAATCGAAGTGTCAACACATTAATCATGTTCAGGTTAAACTTTGAGCTGAAAACAGTATATCGAGATCAAAATAATTCAAGAACATAAGTACATACACATGCATTTCGTAAATCGCCGTGTATTGCCAGAATATCCACTACCCCATATCCACTACCCCATATCCACTACCACTACCTCATATCGTCTTGTGAGTGCCGTAAGAAGCGAGAGGAAACAAATGGATGAGCCCTCCTAATAACGACAAAAGAAAAACCAACTCTCATAACCAAGCGTAGCGTCGTCAATACAGCCCTTTACAAGTCCATAATTGTATATGACTCTTACAAAAAACTGCCACGAAGCACCTACGTACGAGTAACATCTCCCTGCATATTCCATCAGATCTTCATTTAGTGACACGTCACTTTTATATTTCGCTTCCCAGTTTTCTTTATTGCATAGATACATATTACATATCAAATTTTATAAAAATACTAGCTTGTCAGGCGGACGTTGGTCTGCCCTTTTCGACGGCCCTATGTCATGTCCTATTAAAAATCCTTAATGGGTATATTGGCAACCCCTATCTCTCAAGTTGGGCCAAACTGCACACGGTGTGCGAATTTGATTAAAATTGGTTTAGTAGTTTAGGAGTCCATCGCGGACAAATAACGTGACACGTAATTTATATAGGTGTATATATTAAGATGTAACAAATTTTGTATAAGAAAAGTAAAAATTAGTTTGATTTAAGTAATGTACGTATACTTATGTGTAAGTATACATAGATTTCAAAAAGTTAAATGGTAATTAGTCAAAAAGTTAAATTGTAACTTTACACTTAGTTACTTGTACAACGTACTAGACTTCAACGAAACAATTTCTTAGAAACATTGAATAAAAAGTACTGCTAAAGCAATTTCAAATAAAAAAAATGTTTAAGTAGGTTTTTTCTGGTGTAAAATAGAACCAAAGCCGTTCCGCCTGATAACTTATAGTGGTATCGCGAGCATTAAAATTAATTCGTTAACGATAGCGCCATTGTCGGAGTTAATTGCATTACAAGAGTCGCTCGGGTATTTCACAAAAGCCCTATTAACTTTTCGGAAACGGGGGTAGGGTTTTTCGCACAACGCCCGCCCATTTGTGACCACTCGAGCGGGAAATATGGACGCTGCCACCGGCAGACTACAGGGCGACTTCTGACTTCTTCGGCGTGTTGTTGCTCCTAAATTGATTTGTCGTTACCAAAGGAGAGATTAGCTCGTTCTTTTGTGCGCCATTGATTGTGTTTGGCTTAACTCGTTTCTTGTTTTCATTGACGATTCTGTTTTATTATATTACCGCTTACTGCAGTCGCTTTATTGGTATGTCATTCATAAGTTAGACAGAATTCTATATCCATTTAATACTAGCGACCGGCCCCGGCTTCGCACGGGTGATTTTTTAGATTACGACAACAGCACCACCCACAGGGTACATGTGTAAATTTAAACCACCCAGGGACCCACTCAATCGCACACAAAAAATCATCAAAATCGATCGAGCCGTTATCGAGTTTAAGCGAGATTAACGGACGGTTTGGACTGCTAACTTTTTTCATATGCTACTCCTTTTAAATCTAAACACGGTGTTCCCTGTCGATTCGGTTCATCATGTTCTATACACCCGATACTGGTGAACACTGATAGTATAAAAACTATAAAAACAATGGATACAGATTTCAAAGTACAGTGTAATGGGGAGCAAGATCACCAGTGCGACGGCATCGGCACTATGCTCCTCATCCCAACTGGTCAGAATGTTGAGTAATGGCAAATGTTGAATGAAACTTCTCTCTTGAGTTTCGCTCAATGTGTGGTATTCGCGTAAATATAAGAAATCATAATGGCAAATCTTTTAAGTAATGCCTTATACAAGAATAGTAGTCAACATTCATATATGCTTTAATATTCCCAATATAGAGTTAGTTCTCTATTGTTTTAACGTCATGAACACCCAAATTCTATACAAACCGTCGTCTTCAGAGTTCCTGGTCCATGCATACATAATCGCGAAGTTCGCAGTACGTAGAAGACAAACACTAACTTGTTAAAAAGCTTAACTATAATGTGAATTTGATGAGCTAAATTCCGTTCGCTCAACTACTTTAAATCAAAGATATTAATAAGTTATTCCAAAACTCAGTAGCGGTATTTATCTACAAGTTAGATATGGTTACCTTTTTAGTAAAGTAAAGTAAAGTTACGGCCTACATAAGCCACTGC